GAGATACCACCACGTGACATGATACAAACTTTGATCTCAGATCGGAGCAGAAGTGCATCAGTGCATGTGCATTACTGCCAGTCACAGCAGCGCTGGGCTGTTAGTGTATATAGATATAGAAATCAGGATTTGTTGTTATCCTATTGAACGATGAGCACAGAGAAATCGGAGTGTTTACATGCATATCATTGACTTCCATCATACACTGCAGGCTGTATGAATTAGGGCCTGCAAACACAGCCTCATTCTCCTTGCATCACGCCAAGAGTCACTCCATTGATTACCCTTCCCCGCTCCCAGGAAATGGCTCATGCATCTCATGTACATTATAACAAATGTTCTCTTTGCATTACAATTGAATTGTGATTGTTATGTTCAATCAATGGGGAAAGGTCACGGGATCGCTCCTGCCAGCGCTTTAATGGAGAAGTCGATGAGGATTCATTTTAATCACTGCGGCTGTGGCAGAATGAGCACAACACTGAGAGACTGTCAATGGCCCGGTAATTACCGCTGTTTATACAGGTTTCTGCTTTAGCAATTTAGATATCCACAAATCTCTCTGTTTCTTGCACCCCAGTTATATTGGAAGCTGCGTGGCATCAAATGAAGTACTGCAGGATGTGGGCCGTGACTACTCTAATTGTGGGAGAGGCTGGCTCTTTGAAAATGAAGTGAACTCCATTTGCTCCTCTTTTGAGCAGTCACATTACCAGAAAGCTGTTATTTTTACGTACCTTGTGTGAAGGAGCATTCTATTATTTGGCCTGTTGTATCAAGAGGTGGAAGATTGTGGGACGTAATTCACCCAAATATAAAGTGAGCATCCACGGTTAACTCTAGTGTGTAAATAAATACTGGTTCTAAATGAACCTCTTATGTAACTTCATTGCTGAAATTGTCATTGGATAATTGAGAAATTCTAAGAAATAATAGTAATTTCCCACAATTTCTCACTAAATGTGGATTCTGCGTTTGCTTTTTTCAGACTTTTCTAACTTTATTTTCAGTTTTCTTTGTTGCCTGCTTCTCTTTGGAAAGTTAATTTAGTGTTATTAGCCTACACCTCGAGTTAATGAGGGCTGCAACATTAATTGTTTCCATATTGATGAATCCGTTGATTAAATTACATGGCCGAAAAGTGTCAAAATTACACATCATACATTCCCAGAGTGAGGGTGATGCCTTTATGTTGTCCGAACAAACAATCCAAAACAATGCAAGATTCAAAATGCACTTGATTTGAGAAAGTCTGAATCCCAGAATGTTTCGTGTTTTTGCTAAAAAAAAACCTAATCAGTGATTTTAAACGGTTTTATCCCTAATATTAACTGCCACATTTTGGATGAAATGAAACCGTTTGTGATTCTGATAATAAGAATACAGAAGCTGTCACTACACACTGAACAATTAGCATTCTGAGAGATGTCCAATCCTTTTAATTGTAATTAGATATTAATTTAATGGCTAGAGTAGACAATTATCATACCCCCTCCACCATCAGCGTGCTCTCTGACATCTCCCCTTTACCCCGTGTGACATGTTTGTGTTGGCCGCTTTCTAAGGATAGATGGGGTCAAGGCAGTGTAACCTTGGAGAAGCAAGTATTCATGATCAATACATGCTTTATTCCAAGCATCTAAATGATTCTTATGTCTGAAGCTGCTCCCCCGCCTCCCTATTTGCCCATGCGGAAAAGCGGTTTGAAGATTTATGCAGACTAGGTAAAAGGACATTTTAAAAGACTACACAGTATCACTGCTTCCAAATGTCATGTAATCATAGGTTAGGGGAGAGTGCTGTGCACAGAGGGCTAAGTGATGTTACAGATAATGAATTGCCTCTGAAATATAATACATCGTGAGTATGATTCTTTATTCCAAGCTCTGTACACCAACTCTGTTCAATTAAAGTTATTTATCTCTCTTGTTTTTTAAGTTCATCAATTATATTGTGATACACTTAATGTCCATAAGAGGATGATGTATGATTGGTCTAATTATTTCTTATTCACCATGCTTTCTAAAGCATATCAATTTTGTTAATACCATGTAATTAAAACACGTCAGCGCGCTACAAGTTGCTGGCTGTATTAATGACTATGAAAATTATTTTAATTAAATAGCCAATTATAGAAAAATCCTAACCATGAGAATTGACATTTAAATGAATTCAATTTAAATTGCTTTTCAACATTGTTTTATCAAAGCTTTATGGGGTGAATAAATTATTACATCAAACAATGTACGGTGTCATTGATCATACACAAGTCTTGTCCCATATCCATACATTTTGAAACACTTTCCTGATGCCATAACTCATACTGGGTGATTACGTTTTGACACAGTCATTTGTTTACTGCAATCTCCTCCGCATGTACTGTACTTCAGTGTACTTTTAGGAGAAGTCTGTTAACTGTTTGTGTTACTTAAAGATTTAGTCACGCTGGAAACTTCATTCACGGTACAAATATCCAACTATTTTTGCAAGGACAATTTAACACAGCCACTACTTGGCCCCACTGTGCCTGGAAACAAATAGTTTTTCAACAGTTTTCTTAGTAAGCCGTTTCCTCTCAAGATTCCCATACCTGATTTTTACATTCAATACTGATTTTGCATTTGTGCTCAATTATATCAGCAAAGTATTGTGGTGTAATGTACAGCACCGGTTTTCAGACTTTATTTTTTTGTTGCGTTTTGTTTTCGTAACCGGGGTCAGACACATGCAGCCCACCCAGTCTGTTGAAAGCCCTTTGTATCTGAAACATCATACATATCCTGTGGTGCCTTTTAATACCTATCAGGCCACTCAGCCTCATATAGCTTTTCCTGCATAATCTTAATGAAAGTCATTTTTCAGACATTACAAGCACAATGATTTGCAGTTAACCCATGCAAACAAGAGAAATAGTGGGCAAACTGTTGTGACATTCATTGTATATAATGAAATCTTAATATGGTGCATATTTAAGTGAAAGGTTAGCAACATAAAGGGCAAATGGATTGCCTGGCAATGAATTTTAAGCAGCTATTGATTTTACACTACAAGCTACCTCTTTCCCTGAATGATAATTTTGAAATGGCACGCTGCTTATCTTAAAGCTGATCTTAACAGGACAACAGCAATACACAGAACATTTAGGCAAATGCAGACTGTGATAAGAAATACCCTTTCTGATGTGAACTGCATTCATTCCACCTAATGCGCTTACATGGTGAGTCCTGATGTCCTCTGCTAAATGTAATGCATTTCACAGCAAAATGGTCGATAAACATGGCAAAAAATATAAGAAGGCTGTCTGTATATGTGTTGGGAATTGAAGGTAAACATCCATAAAACTTAAATAATTCCCTTTTTTAAATTTGACAAAATGCCAGAATAGCTTCCTGCAAAACAGAATCCAATACGTCCACTTATAGATTTAAGGTTCTGATTTTAAAAGAGTGTCATCTAGCAATTTAGTTTCCAAGATTGGACTATCCAGCTACATGTATACATAGTTTGTGGTTTTACACCAACAGATGAATCTATGAAGAAAGGCAGGAAGAAAGTTATTGTAACTCATGATGTTCCACAGTGATTGAATACATGTGTACACTCTACATGAGCTGTTATTGTGCATGGACATGACCCTGCCCCCATGCACTGTGCTGCATTTCCTCCCTCTCTGCCTTTATCTTTCTTTCCTGTACAGTGTGAGATAGAGAGAAAGTTTGAGACTCTGTGTTCTTACCGTGTTAAGCTTGCCTCAGTACGCAGCATTATAAAAAATAAACTGATGTTATGTCCGGTGTTGTTTTTACAGTGATTTGAAACTGCAATACTGCGAAAGAAAACAGTGAACAATTATTATGGTCTCTATTAAATGTGTAAATACTTTAATATATTTATATAGAATCAAACTTTTTATGTTTTATAAAACGTGAGGTTTTATTAAACGTGAGAACCTAACAATTTTTTTTAGGTTTTAACTAATTTGGTTATTTTTTGTTGTTCTCACACTACATCAGATTCTCAAATGTAATGCTATATAAAGCATTTAGTTTATCTCTCTTTAATTTCTCTCATGCACAGCTAGTGCCTACTTATCTGCAGCTCAGTCGAGTTTATTAACTATGTACACACTGTAGTAGTTAGCATGGGTATTGAACTTGATATGGACATTGGGGAAACAACTGCTGGCATGAAGCACTGCAAATGTAAGATGATATAACTTTTACAACGCATTAGATTTGAGATAAGTGATAACAGTGAGACTTTAAATAGTACTTTTACTGTTGTACACTTGTAGTTTACATATCAATATATAGAGAGTTTTAGTATGCATACAAAAAGTCTATCTCAAAACAGCCATTGCCTCATGTGCCTTGTTTAATGCACTTTATAGAAAGAGGTATAGCCCCTTTGACTGTGCAAATACAATAATCATAAAGGACTAATTTAATGAGACATATTTTCCTTTCTCACAGACATCGTGAACCTTGAACAGTGACTCATACTGGCATGCTTAGTGAGAAAATATTACAAATATAAAAAGTTAAAAGAGCGTTAAACAGTTGCAGGATGTAAGCAAAAAAGGGTACACACTGTTTTAATAAAACATTTGACTGTTTTAGGGTGTTCAACTGTCAATAGAGTGGTGCAATGGGTTTGCATACTGTTGGATAGCAGGTGTAACCTGTCAGGCTGTTAATGTGTTATTAGAAGCAGAAATAACTGTTAACTGACATTTTAGATTTATCTTGATGCGTGTTTTTCACCACAGCAAAAATATTCAAATTACCAGATTATGATCTGATATAACCGCATCTCTTTAATGTGGAATAAACAATTAAACACTTTAACAGACCTGAACGATTTGAGTGTAGCCCGAGCCCAGTTATCTGCTCTTCAAAGGCTCCCACTGTCCCCTAGCTCCTCCCTCTCTGTACCGTGTGACAACAACAACTCATCCACAGAGCGGAGCTGCACTTTTCAGTTCATTTTCCTCCTGTCATTCCTCCTCCTATCTTTGATCATTGTCCCGCCGCTCAGCCCCCCCCAAAAGCCTCACTCAGAACGCCTTTTTTCGGCAGCTCTTTTTACTTCCCAACTTATCTGAGGGGCTAAACTCTCGTGGATTCTTTCATTTAGGGGTGTCTCGGCAGGCTGGGTTTTATACTTTGAACTTCGGCTACTCTCTTCCCCTCCTGTAGGTGACCATGGCCGTACCGGCTGCTCTGATCCTACCAACTCCTCTCGTCCCACCGCCTTCGATCTCGATTCCCTCCGCTACGACGTCTCCGCCGTCGACAACTTCATCCCCATCTCCATCCCTGTGCCTGGCCCCCCCACCCGGATCCGGGCAGAACCTGTTCAGATCAGAGCACCTCGTCAGCGGCAGCCCGGGCATCCCGAACGCTGGTCTTCCACCCGGCAAACCCGTGTACTCGACCCCGTCGCCTGTTGAAAACATACCGCAAAACAATGAGTGCAAGATGGTCGAGTTGCGCGGTGCCAAAGTGGCGTCTTTCACCGTGGACGGCTGCGAGCTCATCTGCCTTCCCCAGGCTTTCGACCTGTTCCTGAAGCACCTGGTCGGCGGGCTGCACACCGTCTACACCAAGCTGAAGCGGCTGGAGATCACGCCGGTGGTGTGCAATGTGGAGCAGGTCCGCATCCTCAGAGGGCTCGGCGCCATCCAACCCGGGGTGAACCGCTGCAAACTCATCTCCAGAAAAGACTTCGAGACCCTGTACAACGACTGCACCAATGCGAGGTACGTGGAGAGCTCTTTACGGCGTGTTGGTTTAAATGTCTGTACGGACAGCCGTGCGTAAAAGGCGCGGGAGCAAGGAAGAGGGAGACATTTTAACTTAAACAAGTGTTTCAAGTGACGAGATACATTTGCCATTCGAAGTTACAAATCGCTTGTTTTTAGTTGGTGCAATTGTGAGCGTGTGTTACTAACTTTTGTCGTAGTTGTCAGTTGGACGGGAAGAGGCCAGCGAGCGACACCAGTGAAAAAGTTTAGTGAAAGTTTTTAGCACGTGCAGGGCAAAGCTGTGCCATGATGGATAGCCTGTCTGCCTCAGAACAAATGAATCGATAATGTAGGCTACACAACGGCTGAGTTTCACAATGCTGTAGAATAAACTTCAGGTGTTGGGCTGCCAATGCAATGACAATTTTATAAACAACATGCCAATCATATTTTATGACCCTTACTTTAATGTAATACCTCTTTATTTAAGGAATCCTCTTAATCAACTTTTTTTTTAATGGCTTGAAAAAATGTGGTTATTTCTTTTGAAATGCACTTGCCACCAGGGTGATACATTTTCAATCATAACTTTGATTTGAAAAGTAAACAAGCCAAACCATAATTAACATAATAATATGACATGATATATTTTTTGTTATAATTGTTCTGTCAGTATGACAGCCAGTTCAGATTTTAAAGAGGTTAAATTACACTCACTACACCTCTAGTGTATGAAGCCAGCTTTTCCACACTGTACATGCCAGGGATAATAGTCAAACACTCTTATTAAAATGTATCCTAATGAAACATGCTTGCTTTTAATTAAATAAATAAATAAATATAATGCATGTGGAAATTAATGCATTAAGCCATATTGCCAAATCAAATATTTTGAGCTTTATATGTTTTAATATGGAGTGATTTAAGTGAAGATCAATATTTGATTAAAAGCCATTTTTACTGTCCTGTTGCTCCTAGCTTTGATGTATCGCTCAGTCTCACAGGATGGTTCAGCCTGGTCAAATTTACCATCTTACCTGTCACTATGATTGATTTCATATTGATCTCCTACCCAGAAATGAGCTGGAAATGCAAATATGATGGAAAGGCTCACATCAGTGGGGAATAGCAATAAACACTTTGAGTCACTTGGTTATCTCAGTGTAAAAGCAGACAGCCTTGTGAAAAATTATAGTGTGAAATTAAAAGTTATTTCTGACTGTAAGATGCATGCTTAGTATAAAACGCACGTGACAAAACACTCAAGCACACAGAAGTTGCTGTGCAGACAGATTTTTTTTTTGTGCCATTAGGATCCATATGTATGATGAGGTTGACTACATGTTGACCCTGAAAGCACTGCTGTATCTAAGTGCCTTGGCCTGGTCAGAAAATGACAAATGAAATAACTGACACAACATTTTGAGGAAGAGAGAATAACATTGTTCTGTAAAATATTTTTATATTTTCTAAATTCATGTCATTTTAATTGCTGTTTCGTTAATTAATAAACATAGTACCTGTTCTCTTTATGCCTAAATCAAAACAGCCAGCCTCCCACACCTACATTATATATAATATTGAGAGCTTACAAATATGCTGTAGCTTCATATTGCCATTGCTGTTGTACTCGTCTTAACAACCTGTGCACTTGGGTGCTTAGACATCATTTACATAAAGCATTGAGGGAGCAGAACCCCCTCCTCTTTCTCTCTTTAGAAAAAAAAACATACAGCTCGGTTATCCTCTCCTCAAGCCTGGCGTGGGGCTTCAGGTGACAAAGTATGTGGTTGAACTCTCTGGGTTGTCAATGGGGAGATGGCCAGCGATGGGGTTAAAGGATAATGCAGTGCCTCGCGTCGCTTTAATGACGCTAAAGTGGTGGGCTATTACGGGCACATGGACAGGACTGTAATTGTCTCTGAAAGCAGCCAGGTACTCCCGGTGCTGGGCTGAAATCAATCACTCAGACCCGGCCTGCCCGCCTGCCTGCCCCATTTGGAGAATTACATCATGGAACAGTGAGGCATCCGCTGGATAAAAGGCTTCTGTTACTTAGAAAGAGTTGATTTTATTTGCTGGGATGTGTGCTTTACACGGTCTGTCATTGAATTGCTGCTGACAGAATGATCAGTCTGAGTAAACAGGACACAGGTTGCCCTGTAGGTGAAAACGAGTTCCCTCTCCAAAGGCGGTGCTCCGTTTTGCCCCGACTTAGTGTCAGTTAAAAAGTATCTGAGTTCACCGGTTAACCCGCTCAGGTTACACAACAACAGCCTGCTGCCTGAGAGACTTTCATCTCGGCCCCATTACTACCTATTATCACAACTCTTATTATGCAGTGGCAGAGTGGTAACAATGAAGTGAATAATACTCCTGTACAATGGGTCTTACTATTTCACATGCTGTTTTTTTCCCCTCCCACGGTCTATTGTGTTAAAACAACACTACTCTCATTTTGCACACAGTGTGAATGTGAATAGCATCACAGAGCATCGCTGCATCCCGCTGGTCTAGTTTTGATGTGGACACAAACAAACTCCAACCAAATTGTTCCCTACTATGCTTACTTTAGCATAACATTAAACAGAAAATAATTCTGTTGCTGAGAAACGCAATGTTGGATTTTTGTATTTATTATTATGGTAATGTAAACAACACATATAATGAAAAATTCCTTTGTCATACTTAAATATTGAGTGTTTTTACTTGTCAAATAACTGACACGGTGTTTTAGTAATTATTGTTCATCTTTAAAGATACTAGGAATACAGTCATTCTTGACCCCTTCATTTTCTTAAAGGACTCTCGTGGCAGATTAGGAGTGTTCACTCTTGCTCCCTGACTGATCCAAGTTCAGTAATCTCCCCTACATTATGACTCTGACTCTCCAGGAGCCCTCCAGGAGCCCTCTGTTCCAGCTACATGTTTTCCTTTTCATTTTCCCTGTGGTGGGATGGAAAGGGTTCTTATTGCTGCGTGACACTTGAACTCTCTGAAAGGTTATTATAACACGGGGGGCGGTGCAGAGATATCGCATATCTCTCATTGGTCTGCTTTGTAGGGGCAGGCTATCCGATGCTGGGGCGCAGAAATGCAGCAGTTAATTGACAATCATTGTCTACCCTTGAAGGTTAACCACACGCCCCAGACAATGTCCCACCACTGGGAATGGGACGGCTTTTCACTTACATGCCCTTCTTAAATAGATTTTCCCGGCTCGTTTCAGTCAAACAGATCCTACTCTGAAACGTTACGAGTGACAGGTCACAGTGGAACGACTTCTTCTTTAACAGATATATTTAATTGATACTGATATGACAGAGAGTGTTTTGAGAGCTATCACCTCTCTTGTTCCTATTTCGAGTGTTTATGCCTAAACACACGTATTTGCAAATGACGGTAATTGTTTTGTTTAGCGCTCAGTGTGAGCTGCCACCGAGGGTGCCAGCTTGTCTCTCTCCCTCCTCTCCTCCGCTGAGCTCTCTTATAATATATTTGTTTTCTACAAGGCACGGATGTGTTTACAGGTACTCAGGGGAGATTTCTGGATTCCATTCAAATCATTCCCAGTCAGAGTGGGTGCTAAGATACCCGTCACCCAGCAACCACATCCAAGAGGGAGCTTGGGCGATAATAACTTCAAAAACAGAGTGACAGATGCCTGATTAGAGAGAGAGAGAAAGAGAGGGGGAGATAGAGAGATGAGGGGAGAAAGAAAGAGGGGTGTATAGAAAGCTGTTTAAAATCCAAATCTATTCAAGTACTTTTTCGAAAGTCAAATTGGCCCTCATATCATGCGTTGTTTCTTTATTAAAGGAAAACAAAAGCATTTAAAATTCTCTCTCTCTCTCTCTCTCTCTCTCTTTTGCATTTTAATCCTTCAGTGGGGCTCTGGTAAATTTGATTAGGTACAGTACATGTGCTCAAGTCAACTGTGCAGTTGGCAGATGGCGGCAAGGTGTTTTTTGCAAACAAATAGTCTCCTTGAAAATCAAAATTGCTTTATTGACTTGACATTCATTCAGCTGGAACAAGTGCAAATTAAAACATTTTTTTAAGAAAAATCCACAGACTAGCTCACTTGACAAAAGAAACATTAATTCTCCTCATTTGCAGTAAGATCATTTTTTTAAAGCTTGCAATAACGCTGAGCCAAGACTGTCCAAACCCCAGATTTCATTCGTTAAGGAGGCTTTGTTTGACACTGTCTAATGTCATTTGTGGGTTTAGAGGATATTTGCATGGCAAAGAGTCCTGTATTGCTAATTTGCCTGTTGGATGCATTAGTTGTCCAGGCTCCTATCTTATTTGCATGCCTTTTACTGGATCGGCAACAGCAATTGAATTTCTAATTAATTCCTCTACCAAATGGTTTAAAACCACACTCTGACATCAGGTCTTTCCACGTTAATCAGCATATTAAAATGGCCTATTTTTACTGTGCTCACCGACCATAAACGGGCATTAGCTTGGATTTTTATAGACAACAGACTTGAGCTGTTTAAAATCTATCTGTCAATATGACTTATCTAGCATGTTAAACTAGATTTGTTAACAGTGATTTTACCTGATGATTTTACACTTGAGACTGATTGCCTGACAGGGCTGCAATAGATTTTGGGTCACTCTGATTTCCCTTCCTCTCTTTCCCTTGGTTGTCTTTACTCACGGGCTCCTTCACATTACTGCACATTTAGGGAGCATGGCGGAAGTCACTGATGCTCGTTCCAGGATGTTAAATGCTACTGACAGAAGTTAGAGGGAGCAGATGAGATTTTCTGATTGGAGAAGGAATGCAGGCCCTTGCCTGGCTCTGTCTAATATGGTCACATAGAGAAATTGATTTTCCTCAGAAATTAATTAATTTTTCATATAGCCCAAAGCTGAAGTTTAAAAAAGAGTGCACACTTGCTGGTTTCCTATTTCCCCCCTTTTTTTAAAGAATTATTGCCTAATCATATTAATACTTTTGCCCCAAGGATGAAAAGATAATTGTACAAATGCATTTGGAAATATGTATCACTGAGTATTTATGATTAAATTATGCAAATAACTCTGCTCCCATCCTTCGTG